GGGCAGGTTTGGCGTCCCGATTTGGGTCCAATGGCCGCGGAGCCATGCACTAGTGTGTTGAGGTTGCTAGGGTGCTTGGCGATTGTGGCGGAGGAGATGCCCCTACCTCCCGCAGGGCACCACCCCCCGTGAATGTCGTTGGACAAAGCCCGTAAATGCGGGGCCTTCCTCTAGTGTCGTGACACGGGAGTCGACGCAAAGGTGAGGATTCTCATCCTTGACCGGCAGTGATCAAGGTCATACCGGCAGATTGGAGGACCGATGCGACTAGCTTTTGGCACGGAGGTGATGTCCCAGATCAATGGTTTGTGGCGTGGTTGTTCGATCATGGCGGCACATCATGGTGGCTTGCAATGGCGGTTCGGTGGCGTGAGGCGGTGCGTGTTAGACTTAATGGCTCCTCTCCCTTGATGCCACCATGTGGCGCACTCGGGGGAGGGGGGGAAGGACATTGGTTGGTGATTGACGGAGCTAATCCGGCAGATCTCGGTAGAGGTAAGAGTACGTAATAGATCTAAGCCGTTGATTTCATTAAGCAGTGAGTCAGGGTAACTCTTATCTTCTTATGCCCCATGTGAAAATAGGAGGTAAGAGGGACCATGTTAAAATTGGCATTGGCACCGGTGCTTGGTTTGTTTGGTGTTGTTTAATACTCTTGAGAAAATGCATGGTTGTGTGTGTTATTAGTTTTGACATTGAAAACGAGTAATTGTTTTTATGTTTTGATAATATCTTGGAAGAAGCTACCGGTGATGTAACCAGTGAAAAATAGTACGTTACAGCGTTCTGAGAATTGTCTCGCTTAAATAAATCAATGAATAATGTCTCGCTATAGAATATAGCAAGCTGACATCATATTTGTGTCAGTTTGTTTTATCATAGCGCGCTATTTTTTTCATTAGTACTCCCTCTGTTCGAAAATACTTGTCATCAAAATGAATAAAAAAAGATGTATCAATGGATAAAAAGGGATGTATCTAGAACTAAAATAGTTCTAGATACATTTTTTTAATCCATTTTGATGACAAGTATTTTCGGACGGAGGAAGTAATAACACATTAAAGAACTGAATTTAGTGAACTATTGTTGTACCATGAGCCAAGGACCTGAAAGATGGGATGCCAACAGCAAACGTGCCATGCACATACATAGTTTAGTCGGTACTGATTATCGAACCACCGGGCAAATCCGTGCAGCTGTAAAGTGGTCATCCATTGGTTGCTTGGAAGCTGGAGATCGACCTGGAGGCTGGAGTTTAGTAGCTTTCATGTTGGCGTGGGCAGATTCGAACTGGCACTGAGCGCGCGTGAGCTGATGAACCATACCCTCGGTGGTCCAACTGATGAACCATGGGCTTGAACTGGGATGGGGCTTTTTTCTTGTTCATTTTTTGCAGGCTCACAATGAGTTCTTTTTTCTTACTCCTTTTTTGCAGGCTCGTCACTGGTTCTCTCTTCATGTCCAAAACAGAAAAATGCAGCCGTGTTTCTAGTTCTTTAATAGAAAAGGTTCAGAGCCTACTGTATTGCATGTTATCTACTCACTCTGTTCCGAAATATAAGTCTTTTTTAGAGATTTTAATATGAACCACATATGAAGCCAAAGAATGAATCTATGTATTAAAATACGTTTGTATACATCCGTATATAGTTCAAATTAAAATCTTTAAAAAGACTAATAGTATTTCAGAACGGAGGGAGTATTTTCACAATTTTCTTAAGTCTCGTAGAATGAAACAACAGTCTGGTTTGCCATTTTTGTAATTCAGTCGAAGACAAGTTTTTTTTAGAATATTTTCTATATTTCTGAATTTCCAGTCATTTTCCTAACGTTTCATTCAGTTTTTCCAATTTTCTATTATTTCTAGAGTAAATCTTCTTATTAAAGTCCATTTCTACAAAATTTATAGTTTATGAAAACCTCATTTCTTGTCTAAAATTTCAATATGGTTTATTTTTTTTCGATCTTACTCTATTTCTTGGGGAAAAAAGGAAGGCACACATGTGTTTTTTTTTACTATAGTCGCGAGACCAAAAAAATATTTCTTTTCATTCTAAAAGGGATTTCTCCCTTTACTAATATTTTTTGATGATATTGTCAGAACAGTTCATTGTCTACACCATGCGATGGCAGCTTCCAGTCAGCTGCCATGCAACATGTACATTGTTGGACGGTTGGAGCTGCGCTGTGGGCAATCCACTCGGCTGTAAAGCCACCTTGTATCGCTGGGGATCGGGAGACTGGCCCGGGGTCGAGTAGCTTTCACGGTGATGGCGTGCAAAGATCAATGGAGCCGAGCCGACGTGAGCGTGCGAATTGTTGAGCCGTACACTTCTTGGATAGAACGATGAGATTCTCAGGCTGGTCAGGATGAGCGCGCGTTGCGGTCTACGTTGGCAACAGTTCATTCACGGGCATCGCCAGACCAACTCCCCACACGCAGATGATATTTCTTTAACACATCCGGCCGAATTCTTCACACCTGCACTGTATTTCCTGTCTGCTCGACGGGTTTCTTCTGTCTGCTTCTGCACCACATAGAATGCTTCATGGTTCTTCGGACATCGATCGGTTTCAGCGTACAGTACTAGTCCGTCGATTAACCCCTGCGGTTCAGGCGTCAGTTTCAGCGTCCGTCCAATTATTGGGAACCGTTACTGCCCTATGATCGAACGCGAGATCGACACGTATAGTACTTAGGAGGGCTACATGTGACCTGTGGACTGAGCAGTCGTCCTGATCAGCAAAGCTCCAACACGTTGGATACTGGACAGAAACAACACGTTGGTATAGATACCGGACACGGACAGATTTGTACATCTTACGACAGACGATAACGTTGTTTTGTTGTTTGATTTGATTGATGATCTTGATCTGCCTTCTCCTCTTCGTGCCGCACCGGAGGGAGGAAAGGAACAAGGAGCGTATCCGCGGCAGCCATTTCTGGAGATATTTCGGCGCGGGGTTTGTGCTGGTGCGTGGTGACCGCGTGCGCCCGGGTGGCAAGTGACACACCAGCCCATGTGTAGTGGACACATCAGCTCTGCAGTAAATTAATCAACACCTAGGCAATCAGGTGTACTCTTATCGCGTCTGGTGACCGCAGGCAGATAACTACGAGAGGTCTCATACTCTCATGCAGTATCTGCCCGATGGGAACAGGGCAAAAACTTTTTAGGACCGGGCGACGAAGTGATGGACGAATCAGTGGGCGGAGCCGAGGGTCAGATGGGATTAACAAAGCGCGGCTAGTTGCGCGGATTAGGCGGGGCTGGGTCGTCGCGGTTGGTCCCCCGAATCTATCCACGGAGGAGGAGAAGGAGCAGCGGCGCGTCAGGAGCAGGAGCTGCTGGGATTTAATTAGTCCTCCACTAACTCACGTACCCACACGCTCTCTCGATCAATCATGTTAAACTAATCGATCCATTCCAGGCCAGCTGATCGATCATTTTCTTGCGCTCCTCAAGCTAGTTGGTAGTAGCATCAGTGCACATATCTGAACTCTGAAGTCAAATGCAATGCCGCACTTTACTCGTGCCAAATGCTGAATTCAGTCAGAAGCAAAGGGTCTAGCGCTACTGAGCTACTAGTACTAGCTAGCTAGTGTGATTAACAGAGCGAGTCCCCTCTAGCTAAGTTGAAGGAAGAAAGAGCAGATAGTGTAACATTTCGCAATGCTGAAAATGCATGCACTTAATTGACTCTTGAGCACATGGGAATGGGAGGTACTTAGTATAACGACAGAGAAATACAAGTTGAACAAAAACAATCAGTGAGAAAGGACCAACGTGGCTATATTTCTAAGTACTCGTCCACATGCATGCGCCGGAGTTGGGCATGTCAGCCTGTAGCTAGCTTGATTGCAAGACGCCACGGCCTCAGCGAGGTCAAAAACAAGTGGCCGGTTTTCGCCTGAGACCGCTCCCCCGTGCGTGGTTTCAACGGACCACGAAGTCTGGCGCGTCTACATGCATGAAACGCCCCGGCGTCGCAATATTCGATCATTAAATTTCTCTACCGGGTCGACGACGACTACTACTGTAGTAAGCCATGTCAAC